AATGACGGGAGTCGGTTCCTCATTGAGAGCTCTGAAAAGAGCAGAGATTCCCATCACTATTGCTTACATTTAAGTGTGTGTAGGATATTTACTTACTTACCACCCCTTGCAAACATATATAGACATGTAGTTACCAGAAGACACTGCTGAATAAGTTATTTTGTGTCAGTTTGACTGGTTGCTGATTTCATTGTGACTCATCACTGCAGAGGTAGCCCAGATCGCATCTATTATGGAGGGAAAGGAGAGACTCTGAAGACACAAGGTTCAATGTCTGAAACTCATTCAGTGTTTTTGATCGGTACATCAAAATAGTGCCTTGAAAAATATATACATGCCTCTTGAACTTATAACCACAAACTTCAATGTATTTTACTGGGACTTTCAGACATTCATAAAATAGTGGACAATTGTGAAAAATGAATCATGTTTTTCAAACTCTGAAAAATTCAGCATGCCCCTCTGAATACATTGCAGGATCACCTTTTGTTGCAGTTTCAGCAGCAGGTCTTTTGGAGTACGTCTCTACCAGCTTTGCACATCTAGAGACTGAAACTTTTGCCATTCTGTGTTAGTTTTTTCATATACATGTGGGTTTGTTATGTGTTTGTAAAATGACAGAATGAAGAAGAGTTCAACACATCTGAATACTTACGCAAGACACTGTCTTGAAATGTTTTCTGCCACTCCAATTATTACAATCTTTGTGACAAGCAACTGTGGCCTTAAATTAATAGGAGATATTGCTTTAAATGGCTGAAATATGTTGACCACTGCATGAACCCATGTGTCTCCTTCTGTGTCTGACTCATTCAGTTTCAGAGCCGAACCTGAAGGTTCGATCTAGACTCAAGCAGAAAGTGGCAGAGAGGCGCAGCTCTCCATTGTTGCGCAGGAAGGATGGAACTGTCATCAGCACCTTCAAGAAAAGGGCTGTTGAGATATCAGGTGAACAAAGATTTCATCATTTCTACAGGAGAGTAAATGGAAAAATCAGTCAAGCATGATCAGCAACATTTAAGCTTTTCTCTGTGTCTCTGTCCCAGTCTCCTCCGTCTGTAACAGTGCTCCAGGCTCAGGTCCCAGCAGCCCCAACAGTTCCAATACGGCCATCGCCAACGGCAACACGGGATCAGTCCCCAACATACAGACGGAGGTGCAGAATCACAGCTTAACAAGCACATGCTTCATTTAAAGAAGTTCTTTTTCATGACTTTTTTTGTCTGTCTGTCTTATCATGAACTGTTTTCACACAGCTCAAAGCTTTACTCCCTCAGAGTGTTTTATTAAAAATTAAAGCACTGGGCCAGTTTTAATAAATAATGTTTTTTTCAATTAATTTGAATTATTTGGTTACTGTATTTACTAATGACATTAATTATGAAGAACAATTTATGTTCCACTTAATTATAAAATATAATTAATAATATTTTGTGTTATACTATTCATGTCATAATATTATCTGAAAATGTTAATAAAAATTTAATATTTTTATTAACAATTTTAGTGTGTAAAATTCCATTTTCTTTTTATAAAACACAGTAGTTAAAAAACATAAATTAAATGATCACATTCATACTTGATTCAACTTATGAATGAGTTCGATGGCCAGACAGTTGCTGGTTACAGATGGGTTTATCACGACAGGACAGATTGACTTCACTCTTAGTTTCTGACTCAACAAGTGTGATGGCAACAAAGACACAATTAATCAAATGATTTCAGTGGGGTTTTTTAGTCATTTTGAGTGTTTCTGATGAACATCTTTGAATTTTGGAATTCATTTTAGCTGTCAGTGATTGCTACTTGAATCAGGTGGGCTGACTTAGAATATCTTTATTGGAGATATTGATACTAATACTTAGTATCAATATTGTTAGACAAATGTGAAATGCCTAATTTCAGTTTTGAGGATGAAAGTACAAAGTGACTCTGATATGACCGTCTGTTAAAAACATCTTGTATGAAGCATTTCCAGAAATATGCTTACATAGAGTCAGTTTCCTAAGTACCTTTTAGTTAAAACAAAACATACCATTTGGAATGTATAATTGTAGCTAACAATTGAGATGCCTAAGAGTTAGCAACTACAACTTATGTGATGATGCAAACAATGCATGCATAAGATTCCCCCTTGTATAAATACTTCAGTAAAATGGCCTGCCGGTGGATTATGTAGTGTTAAAGTAGAAATTGGTTTGATAGATCTTCTCAACAGTGACTAAGATTATCTTTAGACACAAGAAAAGTGAACATCGTGACAGAGGTAGGATTTAGATCCTCAGTCAGTGAGTTGCTGGTTATAAGCACAACATATAAAATTGTATTTTTTGCCAAGCTCCATGATGTCAAGTGCTATTTTTTGAGGATAAAAACAATAAGTTGTATATCTTTAAAGACTAATGGATCTACTGTATATTTTGTTACTGACACATTGGAAAAGAGGAAACAATGAGATTTTCATTTAGCATTGAATTTTCTAACCAGCTGGCTTCTGTGTTTATCTTACAGCTGAGATCTCTCCATCAGACACTGGGGGCTGATGGGACATTGAGTCCTCTTAGTCTCTACACCTCACCCTCCCTGCCCAATATCTCCCTAGGCCTCCCTGCCAACACACACATCACAGTAAGTCCGTGGTAGACATGTTCATCTTTGCAATTTATGTTTGTGGATTGTCCTGCAGAGAACAAACCAGATTTGTTTCACTGAGTGAACAGATTAGTGTTAGTTTTACCTGTGAGACTCATGACCTGGCTATCTGACAGCAACTTTTCCCACTTGATTTATTTTCCTAATCTTTGGAATAATTTGTTATTTTTCCCTTAACTGCTTCTCAATGTGACATCACAAATAATGTACACTGATTACAAAAACTGCATAAAAATGTCTCTTCTTTCCAGCCACCCCAGAAACTGTCCACCCAGCAGGAAGCAGAGCGTCAGGCCATCCAGTCCCTACGAGGGGGAGGAGCTCTAACTGGGAAGTTTCTCTCCACTTCCTCCCTGCCAGCAGGTAACGTTCACACACAATTTAACCAGGTGATCAGCATCTACAGTGCCTTGAAAAACTATTCATACCATTGAACCTTTTCTATTTTTCCCCTTTTTATGAAAAAATCTTTGTCTATTTCTTCTGCTTCCTACAAATATATGAAAAAGGACACATGGATTTTTTTTTACTTAAAACAATCTGAAAAGTGTAATCAAAAGTTTTATTCAACCACTGATAAATAATATCCACAACAACCAACTGCATTCAAAAGTTATCCGAGTAGTGACTGGAGTCCAGTCCAGTTCTTTAAAGCAGGGTTAGGTTATAAAACAATATTCCAAGTTGAATTGAATTCTGTTTAATTTGTCATCTGCACATAGAGTGAGTATGGCACAGAGAAGGGACCAAACCTGCCATGGCATGACTATTACCTCATGTGAAACTATCGAGTCATATGAGGTGAACATCATTCAAAGGTGGAGTAAAAAACTTATTGTAATTGTATAGGTGCTGCATAACTCCAAAGAGAAAATAACTGGCCAAAAACAATTTCAGCCTGTAGATTTGGAGACATGCAGTACCCCTCATGCCTTACTGCTGTAATTGCAGCAAAAGATTGTTGAGTCAGGGCAGCTGAATACACATGCACACATAACTATTGAGATTTTTATTTGTAAACAACCCCTAAAAACCATTTATCATTTTCATGTTGCAGTTGACAGCAGAAAGTCCTGATTTTAAATCTGGGCCTGGAGTCTTTCTGTAGGAGTTTGCAAGTCCTCCCATGCAGACCTCCATGGTAGGAATACCATGGTTGAGAAACACGGATGTTAGGTTAATTGGTCTCTCTAA